TGGTGGCACAATCCTAGCCATTAATTTAGGAGGTTTCACTAGTATAAATAGGGGTGAAGTCTTTGAGTTTGTATCAAGCCAAGTAAAGGTGTTAAATAAGAGTGAAGCTTCTTCCATAAGTTGTGTTTTTAGTCTTTGTCATTTCCTAAAAGTTTCTTCATTCCAACAGAGGTGTGGTTGATCGAGCGAATGACAACCAACAATCATTTCCAAATGAGTATTGGTGAAAGAATTGGTGAAAGAAGCACCTTATCCGAACGATCAACAGAAAACACCCAAAGAAAGTTCTGTAGGGCACTAATCACCCTACAGGACGATTGACGGGAAGCTCTCTTTTGAACTATATATCGACCGAACCAAAGATTATTAGACGATTGACAACCCTCATCGATTGAATTAACTCTCTGCTTTATTATATGAATATAACTCTGTAATTACCCAAAAACCCCTCCAGAAAAGTTAAAAACGAAGGGGGCTAAAATGTATTTTTGTAATATTAGGACCTAAGCCTATAAATTGGGGATCCACATTGTTAATAAAAGACACATTTTGTCTGTCTACTACTGCTCTTTCTCTCTCTCTCTCTCTTTCTTAACCACTACCTAATAGAACGTTTCATTCCTTCTTTTTATTTCTCAGGCATTTTTGGATCTAACAAAATCCATTAAAACATTTTTGAACGGAGTATGTTGCGTTCCCTTACAATCCTTTCTTCAAAATTATTCAAACCTTAACAAAACTGATCGCAATCTTAGGTATACATATTCGTATATAATGTATCATTACATGGCGACTACGGTTTTACAAAGATAAAAGTATCACAATATGGACTACTACAAATATAGGAAGATTTACATACATACCTCTCCATTCCTACGCATTTACTTTTCTAACACCTAAACTTCAACATTTATATATATGTCACCTTATTCATGCATGAAAACCTGTATTTCCCAATTAAAAAATTAAAAGTAGTGATATTTTTGTGCCATATAAAAATTTTTTGTTGCATGAATGTAAGAAATAATGTTTAGGTGTTACATATGTAATTGCATAAGAATTGGGGAGTATGTATGTAATTTAATCTTCCTAACAAAACATAACTGTGTGTATGACCTGTTAATTTATAAATACACCGTATTTCTGCGCAAGTTTCTTCATCAAAATCTCGTAGGCTCTCTCCGTCAGATGGTAGCTATCCCAAAACACATATTTTGATGCATCTTCACATATAAAGGTGGTCAAGCTGTTGCAAGCCAGTGTGACCTCAAAAGTTCCTGTACCACAGCAGCCTCTCTTGGATTCCTCAAATCCTATCATTCGGACGCACAAATTTGTAAAGAGAAATTACATTTATTTGCAAAAAAATTATGGTTTTTGATTGAATGTATGTAAGAAAATGCCATATTACCATAGTTAGAAGGGTGTAAAATGATATCAAGCAAAGGGTTATACATATCAATATAAAGGATGCTTGATTTAGGTAAGGTGCTGTTGAGTCTCTGCATTTCTTTTGATAACTGTGAATTGAATAATGTTGCAGCTTGGTTGTAGGTTGGATCGCATATTCTCTCAATACCTCCTGCAAGAGTTCTTTGTGATGGTAAGCAGCCAATGGGAGGAGCTCCCACAACTCTGATTCTTCGTGCTCCTAAATGGTACAGTTTCTGTCAAGGATGAGAGGAGAATGGTAAGCTAGAGGCAATAATATGATGAAGGTTATTGTATGTTTTATTTTTTTCGATTTTATGTTGTTTTGTAAAAAGTAAATCATTTATGATAATTGGTTATCAGGAAAAAAAAGGAAGATTTTCATGGATGCCACTAGTTTTTATGTTTCTACTGCTAAAGCTGGAGACCGATTTCGCCAACCCATGCTCCCGCCTCCTCATGTTTAGTGAATCGACGCCAATTCCCGCCTCCCGCTCGATCGTGACAGAACGCGAATCGTCGCGACATCTCCCAACACGAACCGTTCCCGCCTCCATTTCGCGAAACGCCACCTCCTTTGTCCCAAAGCTTCCTGTTCACGATAAAAAGGCTTCCGTCGCTCGCTCGCGATGCTCTCCCGTCTCCGTCTCTCCAGATTCGCGAAATCCGCTGAAGAAGGCTTCCGTTCCTTAGTTCGTGAAACAGAAACAGAAAGAAGATTTCTCCTTTGATTTTTCTTGAGGCTTACAGAAAGGAAAGAAGAAGAAGTTCTTGCTTATGTTGAAGACAGGAATGAGTTTTTCGCTTGAGGCGAATATAGTAAGAAGGAATTGTTGCTTGCGGTGTTTCCTTTCTTTGCATTTGTCTTCTATTGTGACTCTCGAATATAGAGAGAGGAAATAAGAAATTTCTTTCTTGTAATTGTCGACGTGATCAGACGGTGTAAATTCCTCAATTAGAAAAATCCCCTGCAACTCCGTGAATGTAGGCAATTTGCCGAACCACGTAAATCTATGTGTTCTTTTGATGTGAATTTTCTCGTGTTATTTTTTTCGCTTCGTCGTCGATCGTTTTAAATTTCAAATATACCACAACATTTACTTATCAAATGTCTAAACTTTTATTTTTATGTATATGCTATTTTACATATGCGTGAACGGTGTATTTTACATTTTAAAAATTAAAATAATGATACGTTTTATATGATAAGAAAGATTTCATTGTGATAGATGTTAAAAATAATGTTTATGTGGTTGATATATAAAAACATTAGAATAGGGAGGCATGTATGTAAATTCTTGAAAAAATTTACTTTGAAATCTGTGTGATTGTGTAGCCTCAAATCTGCCGCTAATATTTAGCAAGAGATTACCTTTCCAATAGAACTTTTCATGGCTAATAAAATACCGACGGAATTTATCCTGTAATACAGATTACCAACAAAAAAATCACTGATTACCGACCGAAGTATCAGCCAATAATCACTTAAAATTTCTGTAGTGAAGGCTGATCAATCAAAATCTGTATTTGGTTACCTCAAAAGAGATCCATCTGATATAAAATTGACTACACCTAAAATTTGATCAGGACATTTTTGCAAAAATTCATGCAGCCAAAGTAGCACATTAAATTGTGAAATATAAGCAGGAAATATGAAAAAAAATATAAATCTAGCTATGATACCTGGATGTAAGTTGAAGCTGATTGAACTGTAAAGTTGATGTAGGAGGGGAGATCATATTCAAACCTCCTAAATGGTGTGGGGAAATAAGTGTTGGCCAGATCATCTGTTCCTGTGACAATAAGATATGCCGCATTGTTGATTATGTATGCTGCTCTTTTTTCTCCTACAATTGCTTTCACCTTCTTCTTGTATTCCACAAACAAATTTAGTTGTCCGTCCAACGAAATCACCGACTGATGATAAAATTTGTTCGAGTTAAGAAATATGTGCGTTACTATAAAAGTTTAAGTGCGATATATATAAATACATTAGAATTGTGTGCTATGTATGTATATGATATGTTGATATTAATGAGTATACGAAGTTTTCTGAAACTTGCTGTCTGATATTTTTGCTGTAAAAAAGGTACATGAAAGATACCATTAACTGAGATGTGAGAGGGTCAAATCCACTGGCGCCGGATGCAAAGCTTACTCCAGTTATAAGATCATAGGCTGATAGCTCTGTCCAAAGATATGCAGGTACGTATTCTTTTATTCCTAGCTGAGAAGCTGAAATGAAAGTTTTTGTGAACAGACAATTTAAAAAAGAATATACACAATTTTGTAACTCTTAGACAAGATGACAGTACTACTATAAAGGGAGTGTAAATGAGAAAAGTATCAAAATAATCCAGTGATAATTTAGTCTCGAGGCTTTTTTTTAATAAAGTTAAAATAGTCCTTGATGTACATTATTGCATCCCATATTAAAAGAATCTAAATACTAATTTGATACTTTTATAAACTCTGAGACAATAGTGGTCCAACTTAAATGGTCAAAATATTTTTGACATTTTACTCGAGTCTAAATAGATTTGAGGACTAGTAGTTGAATGAATACTGAGGCATGAACTTGATCTAATTATAGTCCAAAATCCACGAAAAATATTTTGGCATAATCTTGTTCCCAACCAAACATAGCACTTGACTTGATCTTGATTTGAGCTCATTTTAACTCTTTATTCTTAACCCATGGTTGACTCAAGTAGAAGTTGATTTAGTTTCTATTTGTTGCAATCTTCTATATACATTTTAACATGCACGCGCTGGCGCGCGCGCACCCATACACACACACAATATATATATATATATATAGGAAGATTACCTGTAATGTCAGATGGGATCTTGCCATTGCTGAACCTTCCCGTTGCTTTGTGACCAACAAAATCCTTCCCATAAGGCGGAAAGTTGCACTGAATCGCCGTTAGGATTTCATTGTTGTTGCCTGGATCGACGATCGAGTCGCCAAAAACGATGATGGCCGGCGGCCGTGGAGATGTTCGGTTCGCACCGAGGGCGCACCCATGAAGAGAATGAAGAAAAACCACAAATGACAACAGACTGAAGACAGCTGCTCTCTTGCTGCTTATTGCTATCATTTCAAATTCTAATTAGCAATCTTAATTAATTGCCTTCAGAAACAGTAACAATGTTAGATTTAGCCTCTTATTCTGCATATTTATTGATTTCCTCGCATGGTTTATTTCATATATTGCATTTGCACTCAATCATAATATTATTTTTATATGGTTTTTCTAGAAGGGGAAACTTGCTTAACTAAGCTGTGTGCTGTCCAAGTAATTCTTCCATTTTTCACTCACCTCCATTATTCAGTATAGGTCTGTAAAGAAAACAAAAGGAAATTTTGTTTTCTTTTTGTATAGTTATATGACACCAAGAAGATATAACCGTAAATATCAAACTTTACGTGTTAGAACGTAAAGACATAAGAATTGCACGTGTTGTATGTATGTAAATGACAAAAAAAAGAGATTTAGCTGCCTGATTGGTATTTTGTTTTAAATTTGATCATTCTGCAGGGGGTTGGTTTTCTTTTCTCTTTTTCCAACCAAACGGAAGGGAAATTCAGCCATTTAAGAAAGAAAGAGCAGAGTTCACCCAGCACTTTGTTTAAACTTTAAAGTTAGGAGAATATTTTGCTGCTATAAAATGTTGTCAATCACATTGCTGTTAATGATTATATATAATGAGGCAATTTGATCACCGGTTTTTCAATTTTTTAACATTATGATCTACTTGATTCATTGGGTTCAATCTGGATACTAGTCAGGTTGAGCCATGGATTGGTTGTTTTGTTTTTGTTTAGCTAAGTTGAATAAATTTAAAAATTGATTTGATTTTGATAATTTCTAAGATAGTTTCAACAATAAGTATGTAAATTCTCCTCCTGAGTTTTGTCAATCTTCTGTTTTACGTGATTCTTATATTCAAAATCACATTGTTGGAGTGATTCATAACATAAGTTCTATATGGGGATTGAGCATTATCAGATTTTGTGCTAGTTTTAAGTATTACTCCTAGTCATTTAGAGTATTTGCATTTTAAATTTACAATTTTGTTCTGATGTAATTGGGTAACCCATTTTTAAAATTTTATTGCATATGATGAAGGACTAAAAGATATTAAATATTATTGCAATTGTAAATGCCGTTAGTTTTATTAATGTTTAAAATTTTGGATAGTTTAAAATGATTTTTTCAAAATTTATGGAAAATAAAGATTTATGTGGTTGAATAGTTCTTTCCTTTAAAATGTGTAGGAAGAGAGAGTGTGAAAGAAGGTGAGCCATGTGGAGGGTTTTTGTAATTTGGAATGTCATGAAATTTTTGTTGAGACGTGGAGCATGAAGAAGCACCGATAGCAGAATCGACGCCCTTGTGCAACCGATCTCGACAGGGTTAATCGAATAATCCCCAGAACTTGTCGATCCGACAGATTTCATTCCTCCTCGTCCATCTTTTCTGACTTCTTTCCCAATAACGAAAGATGAAATCTCTTCCCATAGAGGTAGTCTTCTATCTGCATCATCCAGTAAGCAAAATCTGTTTCATTGAACTTCTCGAGTCCCGATGCAATCACTTCGTTTCCGTTCATCGTTCTTCCTTAGGTCTGAACCAAAGCTCTGATATCAATTGTTATGAAAAACAACGGCAATAAAGTGAAAAATCTGAATCGAAAATTGCAAACCAAAAAATAACACAGATTTATGTGATTCGGCTAATTTGCTTACGTCCACGGAACTGCAAAAGATTTTAGTACTTCGAAAAATTACACCGTCAAAACATCATTTCTCTTTTTTTTTTCTCTCTTAGCTCTCAGGAGGACTTGGTTTAGCTCTTATGATAGGTTAAAAGAGGCTATTTAAGGAAAACGGGACAGAGGTAGGTGGGAGAGAAATAGGTAAGAAGAGCTAGGTGAGGTAGGTAAGTCACAGACTCCATATATTTACCAATTTCCTGTGAGCCTTTGCTTTCTCCTTCCCAGTGGTTAGTGCAGCAACCGCCGCCTCTCGTTTTACTTTCTCAACATCAAAGGGGGCCCACAATTATGCCATCATCCGGCTAAACTCGCTCGAAAAAAAAGATCATATTAACAATAATTTAGTCATTATACTGAGAAATTGATAGAAGCTTTCCGTCGATCCCTGTACCCTCGATGCAGAAATAGTACATCCCCTTCTTTCTCTAGAAAGTGCTTCTAGTTGAGATTGTTTGGATCCTGAAATTCATATTGGACAAAGTAATTAAAAAATTCAACTTCCACTCCTTCATTTTATTCTTTAAACCAGGAATTGAAATCGACTGACTGTCCAAAAAGGACGTAACGATCAAACTCTACTCAAAAGGCGAACATATGGCTGAACAGATCAGTCAACCATGGAATCCCTTTGCATCGACAAAAAACCACATAAGTCATAATTGTGACAATATAGTTCAACTTGATTTGCATTGGAATTGTTCTGAGATATGTACTTCCTGGCATAGAAATGAGACGAAAAAGGAACACAAGCAAAAACAGATCATTTACGTGGTTCGATCCAACTGGATCTACGTCAACGGAAGGGAATCAATCAAATAGTTCACTAAGGCAAAAGAAATGGAGAATACATAGCTTATACATAGAGATGAGCCCTCATCTTCCTTCTATGACCTCCCTCTCAAGCGACACCTTGATACAAGGCCTCAAGATGCTCTCCTCCTCTCTAGCTCTTCTAGCTATTCTCTCCTCCTTTGTGGTAGCTTAAGATCTCTTCCCTTGCTTTCCTAAGCCTCACACCCTTAAGATTTCTTCCCTTGCTCTCCTCTCTAAGCCTCACACCCTCTCTATTTATAGAAGCAAGAGAGTGGTAGGTGGGAGGTAGATGGGAGGTAGGTGGGCGGTGGGTGAGCGGTAGGTGAGATGTGATAGGTGGCGGTGTCACATTACAAAATTGTCATTTTACCTTAGTTCATTAATTTAGGGTCAAAATAACAATTCTCCACCTTGACCCTCAATTGAGAAGCTTCGAAGTAAAGATTCCTTCCACCTAGCCCCTGAGAGGGCCTCAGCCCTTGGTGAAGTTTACTAAGTCCAGACAGTGTCTGCACTTAGTTGTCGGTAGCACCTTGGTGAGCATATCAGCAGAATTTTCTTCAGTAGGTATCTTCTCCACTACTATTGAACCCTTGGTGACGACATCCCTCACAAAATGAAGTTTTATATCTATATGCTTGGATCTTTCATGAAATACCTGATTTCTGGTTAGGTGAATGGTGCTTCTGATGTATCTCAAGCTCTTCAGTCATGCCCTTTAGCCACATAGCTTCCTTGATTGCTTCAGTCACAGCGATTTATTCGGCCTCTGTTGTTGAGAGAGCCACAACGGATTGGAGGTTAGACTTCCAAGTGACTGCGGTACCGAAGACAGTGAAAATGAATCTGATCAGTGACTTCCTGGTGTCAATGCTTCCTGCATAATCGGAGTCCACGTAACCAACTACATTTTCTTCTTTGTCTTCCTGCCTTTTAAAGAGTAGACCCAGGTCTGTAGTACCTCAAGATCCATTTTTCCTGACTTCTTTCATGACTATGAGAGAACCTTTGGATACTCTGATGCAGTCATTCTCTGCCTTGAATGAGTATCAACTTGACTCCAGCGTACCTAGAGAGATCATATTTCTTTTGAGTTCCAAGACATACCTAACGTACTGCAGTATCCTTTCAGCTCCATCAAACATCTTGATTCTGATTGTCCCGCTGCCGACTACCCTGCAAGCTTTGTTATCACCTAGTAGAACAGACCCACCGTTCTCCAGCTGCAGTGACTCAAATCAGTATTTGTGAGGACACATGTGGAAGGAGCACCCTAAGTCAAGGATTCACTCCCTGCAAGATTCAGATTCTGTGATCGCCAGAGCCATCTGAGGCTACACTTGCCTCTCCAGAATCTTTGGGCCTCTCCTGAAAACTTTTCTTTCTATCCGGACAGTTCCTTCTAAAGTGACCTTACCTGTGGCAGTGGTAACACTTGTTAGATCTCTTAGAAGACTGACTTTTGCCCTTCCTTCTGGACTTTGATCTGCTCTGATCACTTTTGAAGTCTTTCTTGCTCGATCTTCCTCTAACTGTCAGACAATCTCCACTGGCTTCCTCTTTCATGTCGTGCTTCTTCTGGAGTTCTTTAGCTCTAATAAGAGATTGAACCTCCTCCAGAGTAATAGTCTGTTCCTTGTGACAATGGTAGCACTTGAAAAATCCCCTTGATGACTGATTCCCACCATCCTTGCTTGACCTTGATCTGTACTGACCATTTCTTGAATCTTTCCTGTCTGATCTTCCTTTGACAATAAGACTGTCTCCGCTGACTTCTTTGTCCCTGTCATACTTCCTCTGAAGTTCTTTAGCTCTAATCAGAGATTGAACCTCCACTAGAGTACCCTTCCATAGAGCATCACATCCTTGAAATTCTCGTAGCTCTTGGGAATAGAGTTTAACAACAGTAGTGCCTTGTCCTCGTCGTCCAACTTGACGTCGATGTTCTCGAGATCGTCGATGATCTTGTTGAACTCGTCAATCTGCTCTGAGACGGATTTGTCTTCATGCATTTTGAAGGAGTATGGGCGCTGCTTCAGAAAGAGTCTATTTACCAGAGACTTTGTCAGGTAGAGTACCTCTAGTTTGGCCCAAAGCGCTTGAGCCGTTGTCTCCCTCGACACCTCCCTCAGAACTTTGTCGCCCAAGCTCAGGATTATCAAACTGTGGGCCTTGTCCAGTATGTCGATCTTCTCCCTCTCGGTCATGTCAGTCGGCAATGCCGCTGACCCTTGCAAGGCTTCTGCAACACCTGGCTGAACCAATAGAGCTTTTATCTTTACTCTCCATAGGCCGAAGTCGTTCTTCCCGTTGAATTTCTCAAATTGTGGCTTGATCCCCAATAGCGTCCTAAGTCCGCTTTGCTGAGCACCTACTGAAATCTGAGAGATGTCGCGACGTGTGCTAGCTGTCGCGGAAATCCTCCTCCTTCGCGAGATCTGCCCCTTCGCGGACCGAACTACCCGCCTTCCTCTGCTCCTTCGCGGACAGTTCCTCCTCCATCTCGCCGAACCGCACAACCTGCGGTGCTAATCCAGTCGATCAAAGCTTCCACTGCTCACCGAATATGTCGCAAATCGGCTGCCTGCGACGCGATCTGCTTGCTCCTCTGTTCGTGAATGCCGAACTCCTCTTCTTCGTCGCTGGCCGCGAACACCTTTACGCGGACACCTCTAGCCAAGAAGTATGGATCTTCCCACAGACGGCGCCAATTGTTGTGAGATATG